TCAGCTACGAAGCCTCCGTTCGGCTGAGAAATTCCAGTGCACCTCTAACCTTGGACCGGGTCGAATCACAGTTAGATGATGGTATAAAGAACGTAGTTAAATGAGCACACAACAGGCAACTAAGTAGCGCAGCCGGTGCACCACGAATTCTGTTCAGTCCAACCATTAGCAGTTGCTTTTTCCAACGCCACCGTCTGAACGCTGTGGACATGAGGACGGTACCGAGGTAAGCTTTCCATTCTTTGTAATAAATCAGGTTGAAAATTTGTCTGTCAGAGTAAGTGTTGCATTCAAGGATTGTCAAAAAGCAGAAAGACACTATCAATAAAGTTTAGCCTCACTGCTAACCGCGAGCATGGCAGAGATGAAAACGCATCAAAACACGGCTGTACCAGTACACATTTAGGGATACATTTGCTTGTTTCGGGTTGTCTATCTCAGTCGTGGCCAAGTGAGGTCACCTAATAACCGAAGGTTGAGGAGAACGGCTTTACTATACGGCTGGTAGGTGAAGACTGTGCTACTCGACATGAACTATCCCTCTTGGGAGTTGTCTCAGGAGGAACCAATCAACAAGTGATCATCAGATTTTTAATCCGTGTATGAAGGACAAGTGGCTCCATACCCTTCTAAGCGTGAGTTACTCACACTAGCCACTCATGACCAAAAGGTTGAGTATCCAACACCTATCCACGAAGCCACCGAGTTTTGTCAGGCGAACCAATGATGATAACAAAAATGGTATAGGGTTCATGTAATCTTTTGGGCACGGTTTGGCTCCAGTTAAAGAACGACAGCTCCCAAAACCCTCTGAACTACCAGAAACTTGAAATGATTCAAACGGTTTATTTTGCAGGTCCTTCAGTCTGGTGCAATTATAACCATGTCGATCTCCTACTTAGATGTGACATAGAATATCAGAGTTATTGACTACTGGAGGCCAACAGATGGATGGAACCGAACAATTACGCCCAGGCTTGATTGTGCCAGTGAGTAGCCTATAGCGCTTAGGTGACCACGGTCAAGGCGAAAAGTACTGATATTCCGTGGTTGCTGGTCAGCGGTACCAGGAACCAAACGGCGGAAGCATCGTAATGGAGACCTTTGACTTATCGGGCGTTCTTGTTGTTATCTGATTCGTCCATCTTTTCATTGGTTCCTGATATTCCTTTGAGTTGGAGATCTTATTTTGTAGTGGTACAAAATATTCATAGCAGTACAGTTTCAGAAATGTTGGCCAAAATTCTCCCATAATTTTGTAGTCAGTTGCCTCAGTGTAACGGTTGGCTTGTGGACTGCCAGTGAAAGGAAGAAGGCCTTCGCGCCTCAGTGTATTGGCTTGTGGACTGCCAGTGAAAGGAAGAAGGCCTTCGCTGCGGAGTTATTTATTCGGAAATGCCAACTGACCGGTTACTTACAATTGAACAAGGAAGCAAAACTCCAATCGGCATCTTAGTTACAAAAACTGAACACAGAACTTCTCCCGAACGAGTCTTCCTGGAGATTCATTGACTCCAGTCATTCGTCGGTCAAATAAAAGCAAATGTTACAAAGTGGCCCCGCGAATTCCGCAACAGAATTTCATTTTTCAGTCGACGCAACGCGAAATTCTACGAACAACACATACTAATCGCGTGCCTCCCGATCAGTAGTATCACCGTTGCACACATCCACCCCTTAAAGCTCGTTCGCATGCCATCGATTTTCATTTACCTCCGTCAGGTCGGCTTTGGCAGTGGGTCTACTAGGCCGCTCTTTGGGTGTATCATGCCACTTGCGAAGCTGTGTCCCATTCGCTACTTTCGATCCCCGACCATCTTGAATGGTATAGACGTTCCCCCGGCGGTCAGTGACTACAAACGGCACTTGCCATCGACTGCCCAGCTTCCGCGACCCCGGTCCACTCCTTCCAGGATTCTGGTGATCCTTCCACTTGACCTTCGTGCCTATGGGGAAAGTTCAGACCTTTCTACTTACCGTTTTCTGCCTAGTCCTTTCCTGAACGGCGGTCAAATTTTCTCGAGCTCTCTTTCCTTCTTCCTCTAGCTCCTCCGGAGGCAAGCGTGTTGCCGGCCACAACCCAATTTCATGATCGACCAGAAGGCGCGGATGTCGACCGTACATTAACATAAACGGGGACCTGTCTGTGGTTGACTGCGTGGAAGCACGATGAGCTAACAACACCATTGGCAAGTTCATTTCCCAGTCACCTCCTTTGGCCGCAAGCCACTCCTTGATCGTTCGGTTGCTACGTTCGGTCAGGCCATTTGTTTGCGGGTGGTATGGTGCCGTCCTTAGCCGTCTGATACCCAGCTTCTGCAAGCAATTACGAAACTCTTCGCTCTCGAAGCAAGGCCCCTGATCGGTTAGGATCATTTTTGGCACCCCATGGTTGGCCACAATGTGATGCATTACCACTCCGCTGATCGTCGTCGCCCGCTGATTCGGCACGGCTGCCGCCTCAATCCATCGCGACAGGTGTTCTGTCATCATCACGATGTATTGGTTCCCACTGGTTGTCACCGGAAAGGGGCCCATGACGTCAACTGACCACAACTCGCCGATTTCTGAGACAGGAATGGGTTCCATGGGATGGGTTGCCCCTGTCGTATCCGCTTTCATTAGTTGACAACGCTTACAGGACACCACATAATCCATCACCTCACTTCTCATCCCGGGCCAGTAGGCCCTCTGCCGAAGTAGGTCGTATGTCTTGGTGCACCCTGTATGTGCCATCTCATGGCATTCAACGATGAGATTCCGTCTCAAGACGCGAGGTATCACGGGCAGCACAACATCTGAATCAGTGGCGTTCCAGGAAATTATGCCAGCTTCATTCAGCCTCAGCCGATCAAAGTGACTCTGGAACGCTTCTAATTCCTTGTCTCCCTCTCCGTTCTCAATGTTCCTTCCATCCAACAAGGCGGCTGCAACCTTTTGTAACACCGGATCCTGCCGTTGGAGTTGCACCAACTTTCCGGGATCCAGTTCGACGACGAGGCCATTGGCTCCAATCATGATCTTGGGGACCTCATCTTCAGCCTCTGGCCTTGACAGCCAATCAGCCAAGTGGTTCTCCTTCCCTGGCACGTGCTGGATTGTGAAGTCGTACTCTTGCAACCGGAGTGCCCAGCGTGCGAGCTTCCCGCGAGGATCTCTGGTGGTCCTGATCCACTCCAGGGGTTTGTGATCGGTTTCGACATGAAACCTTTGCCCAAGCAGATATGGTCTCCACTTATCCAGGGCCCAGACGATCGCTAAACATTCCTTCTCAATGGTGGAGTACTTCTGTTCAGCGTTAGTCAGGACGCGACTGGCATATTCGATAACTCCATCCCTCTGCTTTAGGACTGCGCCGATACCGCGATCACTGGCGTCCGTTGCAACAATGAACATCTCTCCGACCCTGGGAAGTTTGAGGGTCAGTTGCTGATCCGACATCCGCGCTTTGACACGCTCAAAAGCTTCATGTGCTTCTCCGGTCCATTCGAATTTCCGATTTTGACCGAGCAAATCGTACAGTGGCGCAGCGATCTTGTTGAAATCCTTAACGAACCGGCTGTAGTATGCTGCTCGTCCAAGAAACTGCCGTAGAGACCGCTTTGAATTGGGAACAGCACAATCCCTGATCTTTGCCAATTTTTCGGGCAGTGGGCTAACTTCTCCCTGACCCACTTTATGCCCCAGCAGTGTCACCGAACTCCGAGCGAGCTGTGTCTTGGCTTCATTTATCCGCAGGCCAGCCTCCCGGATCCGCTCCAACACAGCCTTCAAGTGAACTACGTGCTCTGGTTCCGAATTGCTGTACACAACGATATCGTCTCCGTACACGGCAACATTCTGGAGTCCCTTGGTTACACGAAGCATCAAGCGCCGGAATGTGAATGGTGCCCCGGACAAACCAAACGGCATTCGTCTAAATTGATATTGGGTGTCCCCAACCGTAAACGCCGTTTTCTCCCGGTCCTCCTCCTTGATAGGTAGTTGCCAATATCCGGAACGCAAGTCGAACACAGTAAAGTATCGGGAGTGCTGGAGGGAATCGAAAATCTCTGCAACCGAAGGCACAGCCACAACCCGATTTACGGTCAGTTCATTCAAGCGCCGGAAATCCACGCAAAACCTGTATTTTCCGTTCGTCTTCCTTACAAGCACAACTGGGGAATTGTACGCACTGTTGGCTTCTTCGATTATACCGTTCTTCAACATCTCCTGAATCTGTCTATGGACCTCCTCCCGTAGATGGAGCGGCAACGGACGGGGGCCATAAGGTCGAAAGCGTTCTGATGACAGAGGAATTTCGTGTTCAATCCACGGGCAGAAGCCAAACGGATCCTCATCGCCCGTAAACAGTTCGGAATATTCCTCAACCACGGCCCGTATTGACGATACATTACAAGACGGAAGTTTTCGGACACACAGCTCCCTCACGACAGTGCCTGGATAACCTTCAAGCTTGATTGCGCCATACTTTGTCACCAGCCTTCCCCGCTTTAGGTCAATCACGGCATCTGTGCCCTTGAGAAAATCAGCTCCCAATATTGTCTGCTCTACGTCTGGGCTGATCAGGAACGCGTGCTTCACGGACTTGTCGCCTAGGCGTATCGAGTGCGTTGACAGTCCGTCAATCTTCAATCGATATCCGCCAACAGCTCTCACGGCTAGCGCGCACGGTCTGCGTTCAGCCTGGTTCCCTCTTTGCCTCAGCGATATGCCGGCTCCGGTAACAACCAAACATAACTCCTTTTTTCCGTCTACCTCGACAATGGCTTGTACGGTAGCTTGTGTGGGTGCGCTAATCGCGACCCACTCAGGAAAAGAGGAGCACTCTAAAGTTTTATTGTGAACAAGCGATCGGTTACGGGGACACTGATTCTTCCAGTGGCCAGGCCTGCCACGCATGTAGCACCGGCTGGTTCGAGTGTGCCTCCGCGATTCCGTCTTCACGGCCGCCAGCTGTTCGGTGAGTTGGTCCACCCTGGTCTGCAGTTCCTCCACTGATGAACCATCCCTGTTCTCCGGCGACTGCAACGTGGCCAGTGGTTCCTCGGGCAGCTCCCGGGCCAGACGCACCAGCTCCTCCACACTCAACTGGCCAGTTGCTCGTGCCAATCTTAACTGGGCACCAAGCGCGGGCTGCACACTTTCGGCGAACTGATCCGACAGCAACTGGTGTCGCGACACTCCGTCCAGCGTCGGCAAAGTGCGATCCAACGAACACGGTCGGGTCAGATCCGAGTGCCATCCTGGCCGTCTTGAACCGCCTCATAGCCTCCTGGCGGTCGGCTGGCATGTCGAACTCCGCTTCAAGGACTTCCTTCGCGGCGGCCCAGTCCATCTTCCGAGGGTCTCTTCTGAACGACAGCTTGAACAAGGGTTATGACCAGAGCTGTCTTCTAGAATGTTACTATTGCTGCATAAACCACTCCTTAACATGAAGTGAAAGCGTGCGGTGTACGAAGGTTCAAACTGCCAACAAAAAACTTCACAGTTTGAACAACTTGACTTATCCGCAGGTAAAAACTTACAATGGGCAATCGACAGATTGGATCTCAGAAAAGATGGAACATTTATCCAATGAATTTACTGCTGGACATTTACAGGGCCTTTGAAATTTCGTGACTAGGTTGAATGGTTTGTCAAGCTTATGGCGGATTGGGTCAACAATCACCAAACTCTTTTCCTACCAACCAACCGAATCAGCGTTATGTGTCGGCCCAGATTCCGTGTATGTTTGTGAGGGTAATTAAATGTTACGACCACCGGCTTGGCAGGAATCTACTTGAGTCTGGATCAGTTTAGAGCCATGCTGTTTAAATGTGTGAACATTGTTCTCGAGTGTTGTTTGAAATTTTTGTTGTTCTGAGCGGGTAAGACAGTGTCCCAGCAGTTGGTTTGGGGATAGAGGCTACATGGCTTACGATAGGGTTTGGCTTCCTACATTGGGTGTGAACCACTTGTTTTTATGACTCCTCTCGACCGACAAACATGCTCCGTTGCTTGCCATCTCGTTTGAGTGAAATCACTTTCCATACGTTCACTATCTTCACAATCCCTATTTTATTCGTACGCGGATTTTTAACGTTTCCAGCCCTCTTGGTCGCTATGATGTGGAAAGTTGTTCCCGTCTGCAAAATTTCCCATTTTCTTGAGCTATTCTGTGTTCTTTGTTTAGCGCATTTCCCTCCACCGTCAAACCTTGGTTCACCAATTGTTAATCATCAATTCCTTTCGGCGCAGAATTTTGCCGCCGATGGTCGTTGGCTTGTCCGCTGACGGGGCAATTTGATTGCGAGCGTTTCATCACCAATCGATGTGACATCATCAGTGCGTTATTGGGGAGCGTAGTAGTGCGTAGCTTTGGGTTAGCAGTTGTGCACAGCTCAGCGAACAAGCCAACGATCACCATCTACGCTACATGAGCTACCGCCATTTTTCTCCATAGAAATTTTGCAGTTAGATGAATAAACCCAAAAGATGTCATGAGAAGCATATTTTATCCCCGATTTATCACAGACTTTTAACCGCCAACACAAATAAACTGATTAACCAACCACATACTTCCAAAGCGTCGAAATTTGCTGCTAGAGACATCCGAAAGCACTAGAGTTCGCATTAAGTAAAAAACGTGGCACCTATAATTGTTCATAGTCAGAGGTACCTACCAGGAAAGTATTACACAACTTCACTGATGTGCAGTTTTGGTGTGCAATACAGATCGGTTTCAAAATCAAACGGGACTTGTGGTCAACGATCAGTCTATCCGTACTACAAAGTCATGACTGTGTTGAAGCTTGGAAAATTCCAGAAACTATTCAGATAGTTGGGTCAACAAAAGTTCTCTATGCATTACTTTCCATTCAGATGTACGCGTGAAACTGAAAGCAGCGTTTCTGGTAAGACAAGAGAAATATTGCCCCGTGCTGTTTTGAAGCGTTTTTCACATGCACAGAAATTTCAGAGATTTCTTATTTCTTCCGGCGGTGCTTGAAGCGCCACTCATTTGCATGAGATTACCATCAGTACGGAAAGATGGGGAACTTTCCTTGGACAACTAGTTGCCATGTCTAAAGTAAACCAACTGGGAACGCTAAAAACAATCTTCGAATTTCTGTGGTCTCACAATATAATACAGACGAAACTGTCTAGGTCGAGTGGTTCAAGTTTATAGATTTGTTTGCGTTCTTGTCACTTATTTTTCTTAACAATATCCTGGCTCACCACAACATAAAAGCACCCACTGTGACTGGAGCAGTGCATCTCTTTGGTTTTGCAGCGTGCTGGATCACGGACATACAAAGCAACCTTGTTACCAGTACTCTACAGTCATGCCCAGTGAACCTGATTCATTGTCGCTGAGCTTGCGAACATGTTGGCACTTTAGAGAAGTGACTGGATGGCCCAAAGACGCAAACGACATCCTAGCAACTGCTATAATTTTTTGATCGATTGAAGCCCCTGTAAGGGGTTATCAGACAACTCCAGGACGTCTAATATGTCTTAGACAGTTTTTAATCAGTTGTAAGATTTGCACATCAACCTCACTAGACCAGGCGTCCTCCTGTCGTGTAACTGACCTGTATGACTGCTCCGCCAGTCGAGGCGACTGTAAATCCCTATTTTTTACATGGTTCTGAGAACTCGAATGGGCATCAAAGACTTGAATTCATAGTAGAACCTCTAAATCACGGCACGCGCATATGAGAATGCTCTAAATAAGCGTGAAAAATGAAACGGTTGAGATTTCTCATCCGTATGGAGACAAGAACCGTATGCTTACGGATTGGCTCCGTATGTTGAGGCTAAAATACTGATTTATGCTAGATGACCGGTCAGAGGACATTGTGTAGATAGCTGATCCAGCATGATCAAGTGTCAAGATAAGTTACAGCCCTGATCCCACACACATCAATCCAATGCTGTCTCACGATCAGTCACGCGCGCTACTTTTTATTGAACCTGTGGTTTTCATCCAATATTCTCATTTACTTACCTAACAGTGTTTTGGAAATATAGGAAACTTTAAACGCATTACTTAGAAGACAGTATTGAAAATATTCGGAAGTTAATTCTGGCGTGCACACTATGGTTGAGTGGACAAAGAGAATACTTTCCCTGTTATACGAAAAACATAGACTTTCCGGGATAAATACCTCAGTATAGACATCCGATTCGACGAACGGTACGGTAAACCAAGCTATGGGGAATAATTTTGCGAATTTTCTCCAGTTTATCATCCCATTTCCCGGGCTGATAAAATTCACATCGAAAGTTGATTGAAATGACTGCTCTCAGCTTCCCCCATGAAAATCGATTTAGCTTGTCTATGTTTGGCTCTTTTTTCTCAGTGGATGCTTTTCAGGTTTCAGTCTAACAATTTCAGTCATGCAAACACTAAGACATTTGCTTTCTATGATTTTATTGTCGTTAAAATAAAACAGCCTTTCGGCAACGGCAGTCTTTCAGAGGTGCAGTTTCGGGCCTCTCAGTAATAATCAAAATTTAACTCAGCATTATAAGAAACGGTTCCCAGAAATGTCAGTTGAACATGTGAGGGGAATAAAATTCACAGCGAGGCAGGATGGATATCACGCATGGTCGACTGGTTAGACTGCATGCAACTAAAATAAGATGGGAGGGCAAACATTTTGTCCGGGTCACAAGTATATTGGCGTCAGAATAACACAGTTGTTAGTGATTGTCATTCACAACTGAATTTAACTAATTCCATCGAGAACAACTCATGACTGTTTTCCAAGATACACAAATATCGTTATTTTGCACGTCTCCCGTTGTTTGTCCCATCTAATTAACTGGGCACCATCTGGGCGCAAAGCATGCTAGCGATGATGCGTGAACTATTCGTGAACTTTTCATGTATGTATAATGACCTGTCTTCGAAAGAAAGATAGATAGATCATTTGTGACCGGATATTAGTTTTAATCTTATTATACCAGTAACATTTTCACAAGTGTGTTTACTTGGTAGTACTGCACTTTCGGAATAACATCTAAGAATACAGACAACGATTCATATTAGTAATTTTGGACGACTGCTCAAAATCCATTGACGGCTCACTACCCGTTCCGTCCTGTTTGGGTGTCCTCGGGTAGGAGTAGTTCAATGTATGCCTTGAACCCTCAGTAGGCTGAATCCGGTTGGGGCTGTCAGTTGATTTTTGAGCCCAGTCCTGAATATATTACCCGAAAGAAGATTTATCCAATACTCTCACATCAAAATGTCCAAGTGATGTGTGTGCAGTGTACTGCCAGAAACCAACTTGAAGTCGGGAATATATCAGGCTTTTCGTTTTTAGTTTTGGAGTATAAATCGAGTCTGTGGAATGCGTTTTGCAATAGGCTGAATTGTGAGACAGAGGGAACATTGGGAGTCTTGGAGATGCCTGTATATCAGTCTGATGAAACCGTGCAAGCGCTTATGGTTGACCAACAAATTGGAGGACACGTACGTTCATATCTGATTGGTGAGTATGTTTCAGTTGACAAATAAGTTGAGGTATTCCACATATAATGTAAACTCGTTGTTTGAGTTTCCCTGAGATGAGATGTGCACCGCTAAATACTTCCAATAAGATTGAAACAGCCTTATAATGACTCTTAAATTTTCAGCTGCACTTAAAGGACAACACCTCAACTGGAATTTATCAAATCCCCCATCACTATCATCAACCCGGTGCATAAACACAAGGACGGTGCTACCATGTGGTCTGTTTTAGGACACACTCAGGAGCGGTTTTGAAGTATATGGAGTGAACGTGATGCTGAAAAAATTAACCACTACCATGCATTACGTTAACGAAATAGTTTCCCGTACAAAACTCTCATTGGATTCCGGCTGAATTTACTCAAGCCTACACAAAACCGAGTTCATTCTGGGGTAACAAAGCCAAAACTGCATTAACGTTCCAGGAATTGAAATGATTAGGAGAAACAGGGACAAATTTCAGAATATACACAGAGAGGACACACTTCAGAGAACAAGAAACAGACCTAGGTTCCGCAATTAGTCCATTTTGAGATCTTTGTTTCACTGAACCAATCGAATAATACTGTGCTGCCTTTGCTCGATACAGCAGTGACAATTCACTTGAATGACACACTTCAAGCGCAGTTAAAACGACTAAGAGGTACATTCATCCAGAACCAACATCCAATCCGTCTTGTTCAGCAAACCATCTAGTAGATAAACTCCAAACCGGGATTACTATTAAGCGAACAGAATGATGTCAATATATGTTTGCTGTTCGGAGGTGACGGCTGAATATGCGCCCAAATGGCAGGTTGCAATAATTCGATGGGAGAGAACCACGTGCTTGTCGTACCACCAGGTAATCGTTTAATAAAATCATTGAGCTGTGTCTAGGTTGGTTAATCCGTGTATTTAGAAAAAAAAACAATTCAGTCCAACCGCTATGCATTTGGTGCGTTTGCTATGGATTCATACAGAAGTCTTCACTCTACATTCCGAAATTATCCTATAGAAGTCTTCCTAATGATACAGCTCGTCTGGTCAAACCACTCGAGTTCTACGCGAAATTGATTGTCCGTGGTTGACCAGGCGAGATCCATCCGGCTGCACAAATCTGACCGGTAATTTTTGAAAGTCAGATCGGACACCTGGTAGTACACTGTACATTGTTATTTGTTTTTCATATTAAATGCCACATAAGTTGCCACCTAACAGCATCCATTTTTGTTTGATTCTAGACGATCTTTCCTTTTAGGCGATGCCATCCAATACAACGGGTTGCAAGTTGTCTGGGAACCGTACACAGGAAAAAGCACTTGTTGCCTACCTTGTTATTCTAATGGTCTTCCGACTGGTTCCCTTCTTTTTTTGTTTTCATCGCTTTCAGGCTTTGAGCATTACCCTTCTGAATTTCCAAAACTTCATCCCAGTGGACCGTTTGTAAACATAGACGTGCGTAACACCATAGTCACCATCACGCTCAACATGAGTTACTCTTATCCAGTGGCGAAGTAAGCTGTTTTGGTCAGACCAAAGTACTCATCGTCGAATACAACCAACGGTTACGATATGCTTTATAGCAGGCGCGTATATCAGTGATATTCCAAAGAATATTTGAGAGTAGCTTGGGGATGGCGGAACTATCGGGTGATTATTGCAGAGGCATCTTTTTGTTCCTATGGGAAAGTGCCTCATCTCCCGTGTATATATTTCTATTCCCGGCAAAACAACACTAATGCCACTTAATCTCCTGCGATTTATTACAAGAGATCCATCAAAGCATCTCTATTATCATTAATATTTCCTTTGTTGAAAATGTTGCGGACATATTTCTGTTTTCTAGGTCACGTTATTCCAGGGATTTTAGCAGTTATCACTCAGCGCGACTAAAGAAGCTATCTCGGAAAATGAAAAAAATAGTTTCAGTGGAAACACGAGATTTCCGCTGTCACCGTATACACAATGTTTGAAGACACACACATCTATGTATTACCGCAGAAGTTTTAGTTAGTCTTGCCTGTCTGAGAAAAAGGAGACTGCGGACGCACGCCCACACATGGCGTATTTCACACCCCTAAAAATCCGCGACGATGCTTTTTCGCACATCACGCAACAACCTGCAGACGAAACTAACGGATAACCATTTGCCCCACATTCTACTCGTCGGATGCAAAGAGTGTATCGAAAATTTTTGCGGAAACC